GAAATGTAACTAGTCTCTAATGGGAATATTTTGTCTTTAGGCTCTGTATTTTATTTTCATTACTGGACATTTATCATTTTTTATTTCTTACATTGTTTCAACTGTTTTTATTATTGTATGCCTCCCAGAGCCCTGATGAAATTGGGTGGCCTTATAAATTTGACAAATAAATTAATGTAATCTACTTTTTCAGGACCACATTCATATAATTGTTGAATTTCTATATCATAGGGTTTGATGCAAAAAGTCACACATTTTTTTTTTCTAGAAAGTTGGCAAGCAAAGCAGTGGAAGGAATAACTTAGCATGCAATAACTTCATGAACAGAAGATTAGAGTCAAATGTTCACTGTACTTAAATCACAGCTGATAATGTTCACCTGGTTCTGAATATATCAAGGTATCATATATGTACTTATTCCTAAAAAGTTTATCAGTAAAATATGGACTAGTTTCACAGAAAATTTAAATTTAATACAGAATGAATGAATTTGTTAATGAGACAAACACTGTATGGATTTATGTTGAAGTTTATTTTAATGTGACCTCTGAGATTTTTGCCAGAGGAAAAGAAATCAAAAATTTGGAAAAGAAACATCAACATTTATAGAGTTATCACAGAATAATGTAGGTAGGTAGGCTATTATCGCTATCATCATCATCATCATCATCAAAATGTGTATGCTGCCTGACCCAATGACTCTGGATGGCTCACAATGAACAAAAGAAAATACAATAAAATCAATATAAGGGGAAAAAATGGCAAAAATGCAGACTGTACAATTATGCCTTAATTGTACATCATCCATATTTTCTTCATACTGGCTAACCAGTTACTTTTTGAAGTACAATTAAACTTTCATACTGTTTTGATTCAGGAAACAGAGAAAGATATGTTTGTAATATGGTAGACTTAAGTAACATAACTATACTATTAACAGTAGTATTTAATATCCAGGAAATTCCAGCCATTAACATGTTTGCCCCGGGTATGCAACCTACTGATCTCCAGAGTTGCACTATTTTTTATTAAGGGCATGATCAGAAAATAGCCCAGAATTAAAGTGTCACCATAGAAGGCAGAAGTGAAATCTAGTCCTTGAAGTCAGATAAGAGGGCAAAGGAAGCAAGACAACTTCAAAATCAAAAGAACAAAATTGTTTTGGTTTCCTTAAAATGGGAAGTAATGTATGCATTTTTGGCTAAGATCACAGATTAATGGGAGGAAGCATGACATTTAATTAAAATAAAACTTTTCAGTCACCATGTCCAAGCCACCATGTATTGAGTATGCACCAAAAATACCTTGAAAATTGGATGGTTTTGTTAGATTTACTTAGACTTTTGTAATGGAGGCAGCTTGCTTGTTGTTGTTGTTGAATATTCCATTTTATGAAGAGAGATCAACTTAAATTTAGGGTGTCTTCCTTTTGGTACAGTCAGTATTTTAGAGTATACTGAATGCAGTCTTCCATATATTTCAGATCATAACTTTAGAAATCATTTCCTTTTTGGCATGGGGAGGTAGAAACAACTGGGTATGAGTGATAATGAATGATAATCCCAATCTAAAAATGGCAGGTAAATGGTTCCCTTCCCTTCCCTGATTAACTGAATTCATAAACTAACAACCAAGGAAGATAAGGTAGTACTTTTCATACATCTGAAAGGGATCCTGTAGCAGATGGACAAGTGCAGTAGTTTGAGAGCATAGGACATAGAATGCTAAAGTTGCAACAAAGCAGATTTCAAGTGAACATTAAGAAAATGCAGTTTGACAGTGGACCCTTTACCCACAGTGGTGGTAGTTTTTCCATCTATAGTTGTATTCAAGCACAGGCTAAACACCCATCAGTCTGGGGTGCTTTAATTTGAATCCCTTTGGTGAGCAGGAATTGGACTTGATGACCTAAATGGATCCTTCCAATTCTATGATTATGTGTATGGCAATGTAAATGAATTCACATGTAAAGTTATATGTGTCTGTGTGAATGGGAGTACAGGATTCATGTATGAAGGATGTCTCTTTTTTGAGAATGAAGTGTGGACAAGATCTATGAGTATGTATAGGAATGTGTGCATTTGAGCTAGTATGTCTGAAACTATGCATGTGAACCAAGATATGTATACCTTTGTGTGAATGTTTATTTATGTGATTTACATAATGGGTGTGTATGTGTGTGAACCTATAAATGGGGTTTATGGTATAAGTAAATGGGATATGTGGTATAAAAATGAGTATGTATGTGCATTGTAGCATAGGAGGCATAGATATTTGTTTATATGTATGAACATGCATGTGTATATGGGGAATAAGTATGTGTGTGTTTGAATAAGGTATGTGTATAATTAGGAAATAATACACATGTACCTGGATTTACCCAACAAGGCTAAAGCTGGTTAGTACATTATAATTTCTTATTTAAAGAAAATAAAAACTGTTGTAGAATTATGGAGTAGGAAGTAAGCAGTGTCTTGGGTTTTTTTTCAGATGGCTCTTGTACAGTTAGTCGGATTGATATGGCTTATAAATGCTGTTAAATGAATAAATCAATTACTTCTTTTACTGTTTGCTTTTAAAATATATGCCTGCTCCGAGTAAACCTTTTGAGCCTCAGTACAGTAGAAAGGAAAAAAAAATCTGTAATCATGACTAAGCTACAAAAGTGCCTATGTATTTGGCATATCCATGTATTCCCAGATTTGGGAATTGTTATGTTGTTTTTGTAAAGTATCAAGAACTGTAACAGCAATGACATGAAAGTGTGTGTTTTCTAGAATGGATAAAAAGAAGAAAATACCAGTTTTGTACTTAAAACTGAGGTAGAGAATGACCATCTAGGGAGAGGAGGGTCTAAGACAGTGTTTCTCAAACTTGGCAATGGTAAGACATGTGGACTTCAACTCACAGTATTCCCCAATTTGTTTGATAAACACTGGTTTAAAACTATGAAGTGTGAAATCACCAAGCAGCACCGCTGGCCAGATATCCTGGAGAACATATACTTACTGAGAACACTATTGAGAACACTAATAAAGCAAATTACCATTAGTTCAGAACAATTCATTGGCATGATAGCTTCAACCTTCAGCTGCCATCTGCTAACTTTGAAATAAATCCTTTTTATTATTTGTACGTAAGAATTTGCGTATAAGATAATCCTAACGAGGAGATAGTATTGACTTCAGAATAAAATCTATATGTTGATGTGGCTAAAATATGCTGCTCTGACTGCAAAGAGCAGGACAGATAATACACAAAGAGGCCATTCAGGATGTAGGCAGAAAAGAATGCTAGCAACAAGCAGTTGGCTCTCTAAAGAATGTTCCATTGGCAGTTACTGCCTTCCTAAAAATGAGTGGGAAACATGAATCTTTAAAAGTTTCTGGCCTGCATTTCCACGGCGATAAGGAAAGTTGGCAGTTCCACATAAGCTGCCAGTTTTGTATTCTGGGTCGCTCCATTCCTCCTACAGCCATGGCCCGGCTGATATTTTGACACAGGACAAAGTGGCTGTTTATTACAGTTGAGTGTTGTGGCCTGTACTCTGAGATGCATTCTGTCCATGGAATTTAACTGAGCTTGGCATTTTAAAGCTCGTTGTTGCGGTTGCTTACTTTTCCTGCGCTTTGAGTGCGGCAAGACGTGCTGAAGCCTCTGCTTCAAGCTGAAAATGTTACACAGGAAGACATACCATGTACAGGTTAGATCGGCTGTGATCCTGATGCTTAATTGTAATCAGCAAAGTGACAGAGAATTCCCCCCCCCCTTTGGTACCTGCTATAGTATGATTGTGACTCTTAATCTTTCTGTATGTTTTTAAAATGTATGAACTTCCCATGTAGTAACTTATTGTGACTAGCATGATAATGGAGTACAGCATAGCATATAGACTAAAGGAACTAGCAAATTGTATTAAAATATTCAGTACAATTTTTATTTATGTTGGGAACAAATTCTGGGATAATTAACACTTTAACTTTCAACTGGCCTTGAACTAACATTGTTCTTATTTCAATATTGCAGTGGAAAAATCATTGATTTAACTAGTTCAGGTAAAAATTTCTAAAAAGTCATAAGAACAACCTTTCATGTATTTTAATTACTGAAAAACATTTATTACCGAAGCTCAGGCAAATGCCAAAGTTCATATATTTGTTTTGCATTTCTTTATAGGAGCTTCAGAAAGAAATTGAAACCCATACAGATATCTTCCATAGCCTGGATGAAAATGGACAGAAAATCTTGAGATCCCTTGAAGGTTCTGATGATGCTGCCTTGTTGCAGAGACGCCTGGATAACATGAACTTCCGATGGAGTGAACTTCGGAAAAAATCTTTAAATATTAGGTAGGGCTAAAATAGCAACAGCTGGGAGGCAGAAACTAGAATTTCTAAGAGAAAAGAAGTATTCTCAGCAACCCACCTGCCTACATAATCCTCACTCTACATGTACCATCAGCCTTTTTATTCAAATTGGACTAAAATGGCTGGGCTTGCCACAATTTATGCAATGGGAAAAATTTCTCTGGAAAGATAGTTCATTTTCTGTTTATGAGAGGGTTTTAGGAAGCAAGGAGTCGATAACTTTCTATATATTAATGTTTGCATAAAACAAGTTATTACTTTAATGCCAGTAACTGTGGTTCTAAATACACTGAAATAAGTAAATTTGTAGCCCATGCTTCAGAACTATTTATTTCCCAATTAAGTATGGGGTTGTCATTTAGCCATACTACAAAATGTGATACTGTAAAAGGGTAAAGTCGTATGGTTGCCAGATGTGCAGCTGCAATTATTGAAGTAGTAACTGCAGTTTATTGTAAGAAAAGAAAAAAGGAACCTATCTATTTGGGAATTAAAGCAAATTTCAGAAGAAGCTCCGTTTGCACACATGATGTTCTTTCCCCTAGATAGATAGCTTATTTGAATCATGCCTAATTGTTTTGGAATTCATATATAAGAAATCTGCATAGAACTGGGAATGGTATTTACTTACAATAGTTATAATTTGGTGAATGGACATGAGGAAAGATTTGCAGTGTGGAACCTGCAAGTAACTGTCCCTTAATTTTTGATATATACAAGGTTATGTTTGTAAACACAATTTTGGGGTAAGAAGATAGGTGATATCTTCTTAGGGAGAAGAAATTTGTTCTGCAAAAGTTCATAAAGAAAGGCATTATTAGAGAAAATCAGCTGGAAGAGAAAACCTTTAAAGGACTCAAAAATTCTTTTCTAAAGCAATCATCTGAGGGTGGATTTTTTTATTATTATTATTTTTTTTTTACACTCCAGCACTGAGCCAGTATTGTTGAAATCACGTTTGCTTCCTCTGAAGCCTTTTCAAAGCAATATGTGAAATATTAGCTTTTTGCAGGGGTAGCCCTCAGGGAAGTCACTGTGTATATATGCATAATGACAGAAACCATCTTCATAACATTCATCATTAAAAATAAATGAAATATGTGAAGCTGAAAAATATTAATGTCTGAAGTGAGAAGAAAATTATTTTTCCCCACATATACAAGGAAAGGGATCTTTGAAATCTTTTCTTCATGAACCATTTTTATCCCTTGAACTTCATAGAAAAAAAAAGGTATAAGGAAAAATAAAAGAAAACAAACATAGCATATGAGCCAAACAGTGGACTTTTAATAAAGGAGCTTTTTAATGGTTTCTTTGCTGTAATTTTGATACCATTGACATTAAGCAAATTGAAAATAGTTTATCATGGTTACCTTGCTTTCTTGAATTAAACATTAAAGCAGTGTTTTTGCTCTACAAAAATAGTAAGCTATAATGAGAGTTTTATAGCCAAACCATGTAGGTGAGAAACAGGATCTTTAAATTTTAATTTAATAAATTTAAATTTATTAAATCTTTAAATGTTATTCCTCAGACCAGGAAAGGACAAATAGTTGTTATCATAGATGCCAATTCTCAAATACTTGTCCCTTAATGAGTGCTTTTCTATTAACTGAAGCTACATATACTAGCTTATTTAATCAATTATCTGTACATTGGAGAGTGCAGACTTGAGATTCTAGGGTTCTTTTTGCAAAAACAGAATCCTGAGATCCATAAACTATACCAGCTACACCATAGTTATATTGGCTATATATACACAATATCCTGACCCAGGTCACTATACACCTGAAAGATGCATTCACACAACGTGCTAAGTTTGGACATTGTTAAGGTTTGTATGCATGTATGTGTATATGTCTTAATATGCTATGTGAACATAGCCAGTGGATTTATGTGAATTCAGAAAATGGATTAATTCAGTAATTAATCTGAGCAAATTATAAGAACAGAGCTACAATGAGAATTATAGAACAAAATGCCTCTCAGTATATGAATCTGGCTCATGTTTAGTAGCAGAACCAAACTCAAAAATACTGTCATACCAAAGCCTACTATTTGTTTTAAATTCCCAAAAATCAGTTTTCAGCAACTGATCATGAAAATAAAAAGCTCTTAGTTGTTAATGTTGGATCTGGGAATCAGTATTTTGATTTATTCCAAATTCTTAGAGATCCACTTGTCAATCCTGATATACTTTCTTCCCATCCACCACTTTTGAACATTATATTTTGCCTCCTTAACTTCTGTTTGTAGAATTCAAGCATTTTGAAAGAGAGCCACAGTGCTCGGAGGCTGGAAAGCTGAACTTTTGAATGTAGTTGTTTGGCTTTGAAGAAAGGTTCACAGTAGTGACTTCCTTTAAGATCCTTTGAATTTAAGAGAAGATTTTTTTAGATGAAAATCTCACCCTTTAAAAATAATAGAAAGTCTCACCCCCACAAGTGATATATATTCACCCCCACAAGTGATATATATTTCTTTGTACTCAGTGCTCATTACTATTTTTTTAGATGAAAATCTCACCCTTTAAAAATAATAGAAAGTCTCACCCCCACAAGTGAGGTGAGCTTAGCTCCTGCAGTTGTGATATTTGACATGCAGGTAAGACTGTTGGGCAAACTTCAGCTCTTTTTAAACTAGTTTATGTTGATTTTAATGAGGATGGAGTTGATAAATTGTATAGATTTTATATATTATATATATTTCCTTTAAGATCCTTTGAATTTTAGAGAAGATTTTTTTAGATGAAAATCTCACCCTTTAAAAATAATAGAAAGTCTCACCCCCACAAGTGATATATATTTCTTTGTACTCAGTGCTCATTACTTTTTTTTAACTTTTGTACTCACTATTTGTGACTTGTGGGAGGAGAAGTATAAAAAGGGAAAGAAAGAAAGAAAGAAAGAAAGAAAGAAAGAAAGAAAGAAAGAAAGAAAGAAAGAAAGAAAGAAAGAAAGAAAGAAAGAAATCTAGTATATATCTTATATTTTAACCTTTAAGAAATTTTCAAACCAGTTCAGAGAAATAGATTAAAATTAAGGAAAGAAATAGTAAAAATCCTGTTCTCACATTGTGCCCTACTACTGGTTTACTGGAAATCATCTTTTTTTCATGGTGTCTTTATTTTGCATGTATGGATTAGGTGGATATTGCTTTTGGTGATATTTGTAACACAGAGGCTTAACCTGTTTTTCAGGTCTCATCTAGAAGCCAGTTCTGATCAATGGAGACGTTTACACCTTTCTCTTCAGGAACTTCTGGCATGGCTGCAGTTGAAAGAAGATGAGCTAAAGCGACAGGCACCCATTGGTGGTGATCTTCCCACTGTACAAAAGCAGAATGATACCCATAGGGTATGATTTTTTTAAAAAATTCTGGAAGTAGATTGTGGGTATATTGTTATGATTTGGAGAATGGGGAATACTATAAACTAATGCTAAACTCAATATTAGAAATAATTAAACATAAACATTTGAAAAACTATTAGCTGATTTTCTTGGGGAATATGTTTATAATCTAATCCTTAAGAAAATCAGCAGTTTTCAAATATTTACATTTAATTATACTTGGAGCAACAGATGTATACATCTTAATATGACCACTTTTTAGGGCCTGATAAAATATATGATGAACTGCAGTGGGGGTAACTAGAGGGCAAATGACAAAATGAATATGACTTCATAACACAATTGCCATGAGTTACATACTTTCATCTGATGTTGGACACAAGTACATTTTGGAATTTGTGTCAAGGCATCATAACATTTGCTGAACGTTTGTCCTCCAACAAAGGTTGGAATGAATTTGGAGGAGGTATTATCCTATGCTTCTTGTCCTATGGGATTTCAAAATCTATAGTGACATTGCCAAGATGGACTCAGAATTTTATGTCTACCGTTATATCCATGAACTTGATATTGTCCCACATATGCAATGGATTTTGGCATTTTGTTTCTATAGATATGATTATTTGAAAGTAGAACAGGTCTGTGTGACGTTGTTATGCAAAGATCAGTCACTGCTCAGATTGCCCATAAAAACTTCTTCAGGTTTTGAAGACTAGTTGAAATTATCAAATTTTATTTATTTTATTTTATTATTAAAGCAATTTATATGGCTACCCAACTCACAGTGACTTTAGGTGGCTTACAGAAATAAATTATCTAATACAGGCTGTTGGTGGATCTAGTTGATTTTCTAAAACAAATTTTCTAATTTAGGGAATTTCTGAAAAAATTTGTTGGCAATATTATTGCCATGACAATCTGGAATACAGAGATGGCAAAGATGAGTGACACAATTGCTCCTAAGCATCCTTCCTCTTGTAAAGCCAAACCCATTCCTTGGTTTATTAGGAAGCCAAGAGTAATGAAGGGGCTGGGACAAGAGCTGGAATGCACATTAAGATCAAATTATGCTTGTTTTAAGGCCTACTCCATGACAGTCCAGATAGAAAAGACTGCTTACAGCAATGTCTATTGCATCTGCATTGAAAAAGTGGTTACTTCTTTCCGTATTATGCATTTTACCAGAGAAATGAGAGAGTCAGTAACTCTCTACGAACAGTTCACATAATCATTGTGAATAACATTATTCAGATCTGTTATAGTTTGGATAGCAATGTTAGGGCCACTCATTAAAATGTACATTTGGCAGCCATGAAACTTGGTATTATGTGTCTGTGGACTAGCTAAGTGAAGAGATGAGTTACTCATTATTTAAACCTTGTTTTTTCTTCCCTAGCTGATAAAATATGTCAAAATGAAACTGACCACATGGTTAATGGATGTAATAAATCTCTCTTGAAGTTGGGAGGCATTCCCCCATCCCATTCTATGTAAAGGAGGCAGACCTGGAACAGCTGTGCGGTTATAGGTCAATTCAAACAATTTCTAGGGAAAGTGACTGAAAAAGCAGTGGCTTCACAGCTGCACTTTCAAATGATTTGATAGTAACTATCTGGGCTCATTTTAATTTGAGTCTCAACTTGGATAAGATACTTAGACTTCTACACCACTTTTGTATGACCCATATGGAAACTGGATGGATGGAGTGTGGACCTGTTTGTTCTATGGAATTACTTGATGTCTTTTATAACATTTACCTTGGTATACTTCTTAACTGCCTGGTGAGATGAATTTTAGGGCACTACTGTCCAGAATTCTGGTCCTTCCCATTAAACCAATTCTAGAAGTTCATACCAACAGTATTGATCTACCATTCACTACCTAGGCATGGACCTATGATTACCTGTAGGTCTTCATAGGCATTCAGTACATAGTGTGATTAACTGAAAAATGATGAAATGTGTCACATCACAACGCAAACCTCTGCCTTTTGTATTTGTGTCCTGATACAGGACACAAATCCTAGCTACCATAAGTCATGGAATTTGTGTTGTGACATCATGATCCATATTCATCATTTGCCTTTCCTTGCCACTTATAAACACCTATGCTCATCTTCCATGCTGTTTAAGATCTACTCAAAACAGCTAGAGCTGGTTATTTTGGAATCAGGTACGATTTTGGCATCTTTGAATATTGTGAAAAATTTATAATAGACTAGATGAGGTAAACCAAATGGAAGATTGAAATAAGATTAAAGTAGTGTTTGTAACTGGGAAACTTCTCTCTGGGATTAAAATTCAGCCTCACTTTTTTTAAATAATATTAGATTTTAAAATAAGAAGAATAAAACTAACAAAAACTAATATTAAAACTAAAGAATTAAAAAGAAAGAAAGAATGAAAAGGAAGAGAAAGAACAAAGTCAAAAGTACAGGAAAAAAGAAAGAAAAGAAAGAAAAAATATTAAAAAGAATGACTTCCAGCTTTCCTCACAACAGATATAAGTAACAGTTTACACTAAACTCTTACACTAAGTTTACACCATAACTCGTTTTTTCTATTGTCGATTATTGATTCTAATCATCAAATCCATACAACATAATTTTGTTTTTTTCCCCCTGTTTCAAGGAAAAAAGTCCAAAACAGGCTTCCACTTAGCATTAAAAAATTCAGCCTCTTTTGGATAGGCTTCAATTCCCCCAAATGACAAGATCACACACTGAGAGTGTTACTTGTGCCTCAGCTATAATTTGATTAAAAGATGGCAGCTGCAGTGAGACATGCATTTATTAGTGCACCAGCTGGATTTGGCAAAGGCTATCTATGTGTTGGTTGTGCCTTGTATTGACTATTGGAAGAGCTAACGTTTACAAGTGCATTGAGAATAGAAGCAAAGGTCACCACCAGGCACACAATCAAGCAGTCAACATATGCTAATCAATGAACTACCAGAAGACCAAAACAGACCCCCCCCCTCCACCCGCCCTGGCAAGGCAGGCCACAGCAGATAAATAGAGAGCAAACCTCATCCCATTTTAGCACTGAAGATG